AATAAAAAGTAAAATGTAAAACTTTTTTCATTTTTTAAATTGTACAGATAATGTATATATATATATATTATAATTATTTAAAAAAAAATATGATTCCTTCGCTACATAAAAGTTCTCATGTTTCAAAAACAGTCAAAAACCTCAATATAATTATTAAAATTAATATGAATTAAAGTATCAAGCCCTGTTTCATCCTCAGCAAAAATTTAGGAAGATTCCTAAAATATACCTATATATATATATATATATATATATATATATATATATAAAGAAATATAGTCTTAAGGTGTGCTATATTTATGGAATAAAGTGTTAAATATAAGAGATAGAGCGTGTATAAATATAAAAGTGAACATAGAAGTCAACACTTAGAGGCGACAGACTGTTTCATGCTATATGCAATCGTCAGGCCACATATGCTGTTATTTTTCTCGGCTATTTATATATATACGGGTTAGTGGTGCATTGTGGGTATTCTATTATGGCAGTTATTTTACTGGAAGTCGTTTGTTTGGTCAGATTATATTGCTCGTTTTTATTTTTGTTTCTTATTTTATTTATTTATTTATTAACGTAGTAAAAATTTATTTATATCACTTATTTAACAGTTTTGTATTGGTTTGAGAATTTAATTAAAGCTATTTGTTCAATTTTGGGGTTGGTTGTTGTAGTTCATCCTAACTATTATTTTGGCGGCAACAGTTTTTTAATTTGGGATTGGTTTGTCTATTTATTTACTTGGATGAATTTAGGTCAATTTATTTTACTTGTATATTTTCTCTTTTCGGTTTTAAGCAACATAGTATTTATTTATTTTTTATTTCTATTTTTTATTTGTTTTTATTTTATTTTTTCCGTTTTTCATTTTTTAGGTTACGTAGTAAAAATTTATTTTCATGCCTGCATTTTGAGATGAGGGACTAATTGCATGATTTGGTGTCGATGGACCTGGATAGACATTATGCCTTCTCTTGCCATTTTTATAAAAAGTCAGCGTTCAATAATAATAAAGCACTTAATAACATCGACCTGAACAGAGGAAATCTCACTGAAATCATTGATTCTCGTTCGATCACCGAAATTAAACCGTGTCGTGCTTTGTACTTAGACGGGTTACCCGCTGGAAAACACAGGGTATTGTAGGTGACATCCTTCTATCTAAGGTAGGTTATGCTTTTAAATAACTCACAAAGTTTTGATATATCATAAGAAAACCAATTAAAAAACAAAATCAGTCACCCAGAAAAACAAGCAAAATGTCACACCATACACACACAGTGTCAAAACAAACGAGTAGGACCACAAGCACACACTCGCGCACGCACACACATACACCATGCAAAATATATATACTTAGTATATGGATTTCTTAGTAATAATATGATACATAGTATATATGTATGGGGAACGAATATATACACATATACTGGCAAAAAGAAACACTAGACGGACCACACGCACGAACCTTGCACGCCATACAAAGTGTGTATGTATATATATATATATACTTTCCTGGTAACAAAACAATTTATATGAATGGAGAAGGAATATATATACAGATACTTACAAAAAAAAAAAAGTCCAAAAAATATCACACGCACACACACACACACACACACACACACACACACACACACACACACACAGTACAAAAAAAATGGAGAAACGTTTAAAAAGATACAAAGGATATAAAAAGATAAGAACAAATTTCTCCCCTTTTTGTGACCAATCCTAATGTTTTTTTATGATCCCTTAAGAAATGGAAGATTTTTCCGCCAGTCCAAGAAGAATTTGGATTACTACCGCACACAAAAGACTGGTTAAACATAAGAAAGCATAAGTAAAAAACATTAATTTCTTTAAATAGCATGTGGAAATAAACATTCTTCAAAAAACTTTAATAATATTTCTTAAATATTTAATATTTCTCTGCAAAGAAGCGTATTGATGAAACTTAACTCTATTGGATTCAACAAATTGTTGTCTTCATCTTTATCGCCATATTCCCGACGTTTCGGCCGTTGTACGCCCGGTAGTCTTCAGGATCTGTCTATATTTCTGGGATGATGTATTGTAATTACATTATTTAATTTGTTTGGACTGTTGTCCTCATCTTTATCGCCATATTCACGACGTTTCGGCCGTTGTACTACCGGCCTGCTTCAAGATCTGTCTATATTTCTGAGATGATCTATTGTAATTATTTACATTATTTATTTGTTCGGACTGTTGTCCTCATCTTCATCGCCATATTCCCGATGTTTCGGACGTTGTACGCCCGGCCTTCTATAGGACCTGTCTATATTTCTGAGATGATCTATTGTAATTATTTACATTATTTAATTTGTTTGGACTGTTGACCTCACCTTTATCACCATATTCCCGATGTTTCGGCCGTCGTACGCTCGGCCTTCTTCAAGATCTGTCTATATTTCTGAGATGATCTATTGTAATTATTTACATTATTTACTTTGTTCGGACTGTTGTCCTCATCTTCATGGCCCTATTCTCGACGTTTCTGACGTTGTACGCCCGGCCTTCTATAGGATCTGTCTATATTTCTGAGATGATGTATTGTAATTATTTACATTATTTAATTGGTTTGGACTGTTGACCTCACCTTTATCGCCATATTCCCGATGTTTCGGCCGTCGTACGCTCGGCCTTCTTCAAGATCTGTCTATATTTCTGAGATGATCTATTTTAATTATTTACATTATTTACTTTGTTCGGACTGTTGTCCTCATCTTCATCACCCTACTCTCGACGTTTCGGACGTTGTACGCCCGGCCTTCTATAGGATCTGTCTATATTTCTGAGATGATGTATTGTAATTATTTACATTATTTAATTGGTTTGGACTGTTGACCTCACCTTTATCGCCATATTCCCGATGTTTCAGCCGTCGTACGCTCGGCCTTCTTCAAGATCTGTCTATATTTCTGAGATGATGTATTGTAATTATTTACATTATTTACTTTGTTCGGACTGTTGTCCTCATCTTCCTAGCCATATTCTCGACGTTTCGGACGTTGTACGCCCGGCCTTCTATAGGATCTGTCTATATTTCTGAGATGATGTATTGTAATTATTTACATTATTTAATTGGTTTGACCTGTTGACCTCACCTTTATCGCCATATTCCCGATGTTTCGGCCGTCGTACACTCGGCCTTCTTCAAGATCTGTCTATATTTCTGAGATGATCAATTGTAATTATTTACATTATTTAATTGGTTTGGACTGTTGACCTCACCTTTATCGCCATATTCCCGATGTTTCTGCCGTCGTACGCTCGGCCTTCTTCAAGATCTGTCTATATTTCTGTGATGAACTATTGTAATTATTTACATTATTTTATTGGTTTGGACTGTTGACCTCACCTTTATCGCCATATTCCCGATGTTTCGGCCGTCGTACGCTCGGCCTTCTTCAAGATCTGTCTATATTTCTGAGATGATCTATTTTAATTATTTACATTTTTTACTTTGTTTGGACTGCTGACCTCACCTTTATCGCCATATTTCCGATGTTTCGGCCGTCGTACGCTCGGCCTTCTTCAAGATCTGTCTATATTTCTGAGATGATGTATAGTAATTATTTACATTATTTATTTAGCTCGGACTATTGTCCTCATCTTTATCGCCATATTCCCGATGTTTCGGCCGTCGTACGTTCGGCCTTCTTCAAGATCTGTCTATCTTTCTAAGATGATCTATTGTAATTATTTACATTATTTAATTGGTTTGAATTGTTGACCTCACATTTATCGCCATATTCCCGATGTTTCGGCCGTCGTACACTCGGCCTTCTTCAAGATCTGTCTATATTTCTGAGATGATCAATTGTAATTATTTACATTATTTAATTCATTTGGACTGTTGACCTCACCTTTATCGCCATATTCCCGATGTTTCTGCCGTCGTACGCTCGGCCTTTTTCAAGATCTGTCTATATTTCTGTGATGATCTATTGTAATTATTTACATTATTTTATTGGTTTGGACTGTTGACCTCACCTTTATCGCTATATTCCCGATGTTTCGGCCGTCGTACGCTCGGCCTTCTTCAAGATCTGTCTATATTTCTGAGATGATGTATAGTAATTATTTACATTATTTAATTTGTTTGGACTGTTGACCTCACCTTTATCGCCCAATTCCTGATGTTTCCGCCGTCGTACGCTCGGACTTCTTCAAGATCTGTCTATATTTCTGAGATGATCTATTGTAATTATTTACATTATTTACTTTGTTCGGACTGTTCTCCTCATGTTTATCGCCATATTCCCGACGTTTCGGACGTTGTACGTCTGGCCTTCTTCAGAATCTGTCTTTATTTCTGAGATGATGTTTTGGCAGTTGTCCACTGGGGCAGATTGTTCTAGTTCCGCGTGCCATTTTCACAGTTATTTTCCTTTTCACTCAACCTGGGGAATTTTAAGGAAACATATATGTGAGGTAGGTTGCTATAACGTTGTGAAAACTGCCTGTATGTCTTAGGTAGGAAGTTGTCCTTGTTCGTGTTTAGGATCTTCATTCTGTTTCATTCTTGAGTCTTTCTTTACTTTACTCTAGTTACCATTTTTAATGAGGTCTTCCAGCTTTCCTGTATATTCCTCTGTGTTCATCATTAAACTCGAATTGCCTTTGTCAGCTGGTAGTATGATGATGCTGTCATTCCTCTGTAGGGTTTTGATTGCTATATAACATCAGGACGACCTTCAAACGTGGTTCAACATTTCGCTAACAGCTCTTCCGTGTAATACCTCCCGTAGAGGAGAATATGATTTTGAACTGTATGCACGCCATCCCATGCAGCTGTTGCAGTAAATATAAAGGAGAACCATGCCGGCTGTTAAGATAACACTGTAAGAACACCGCAAAGTCGTAATACGAGGGAAATAGGAAACCTTAAGGAATAAGCGCGTAAAGTAGGCCACAAAAATCTTCTAAGCTCGCCAAGCAGATATGAATATAATATGCGAACCAGCAATACGCAGTGCTAGAGAAAAAACAAAAAAAAAACAAAAAAAGAAAAACACATTTTACCTGCCTATCTATCTATCTATCTATCTATCTATCTGTTCACATCTATCTATCTATCCATCTATCTATAAATGCATATTTGTTTCGAGGTCTAAAGACGTCTCATCAGCTGATTAACGATGGTGGTAAGCATCCTTAACCACCTGATGGGACATGATATATATATATATATATATATATATATATATATATATATATACACACACACACACACACACACACACACACACACATATATACATATATATGTCTATATAAATAAAAAGAAAGAACAGTAAGATATATAATCCGGTGTTCTTATAGATATTTTTATTTTTACAAAATAGCGCTCAATGTAAATTTACAGAGCATTAATATTATAAATTAATTGATTTAAAATAAGTTTTTTCCCTACACAGTTCTAACCATGTTTCAAAAATGGAAACTGAAAGCTCCGAACTTAATTTTGTAATTAAATTAAAGACATCAGTTTCATTTCATAAAATTCGCTTGAGGATGAAATGGAACTAATGTCTTTAATTTAATTACAAAATTAAATTCGGAGCTTTCAGCTTCCATTTTTGAAACATGGTTAGAACTGTGCAGCGAAAAAAACATATTTAAATCGATTAATTTATAATATATATATATATATATATATATATATATATATCTTATTTGACAATGATAATTTCTTATGCCTAATAACAAGAAGACGGCTTTTTATTCCTGGATCATGCTCACTTGAAAGAAACACAGACATCTTTCAGTTTAATACTGATTAATCACGCCTACTAATAGAGCCGGGGTTCTTAATCGGGGGTATCCATACCCCTTGTAGGTATGGGAACCGAATGCTGGGGGTATGGGACTGGATTTCTGGGTACTGGTAGCCACCCCCCGTTTTGTTTGTTGACAGATTGCGCAAAAACAATAGCAAATATCTCACTAGATTAATAAAAGTTTTTTTTATTGTAGTCGAGATACTAAAAAAACTTGCACAGTTATGTTCTCTTCCTTTTTCTTGTGTAATAAAACTGATTTATAACTTTATTTTGATTTCAGTAAAAAAAAATATAATAAAGTTATAATTGCTTATGGTTTTCTTTTTCATGTTTTCTTCCTAGCGATCCATAGCTAAAGTACAGGAAATTCAAGTGATTGAAATATTTGGAAGACAAACTGACAAATAATAGGATTGGTGATAATTATTTCGACTGTCAAGTGAAGAGGGTATGGGGCCATATTGGACAATGCATTATGGGTCTGGAATCATCAAAAGGTTAAGAAAAGAAGTACTAGAGCAATACGAATTTCCAATTCGAAACCGCTTCTATGTTACTGGAGTACGATGAATTGTGAAGGAATTGTACATTTATTTCAGGTATTTTTCTTAAATAGCAAATTAAATATTATCAATAAGTATATATCCCCCAGCATTTATCGAAAGGTGTTGCTAGGGTAGAAGTCCCAGTGTCTATCATAATATTAAATCTAAAGTAGTTATAGTGTTTGGAGTTTTTTTATTTCCTGCGATACAGCGATCGATCTATAAAAAGGCTTGTGTTGGGGGATCTGTCGACTTATCAACCCTAATTAGCTTATTTTATTATTATTAGCTGTTTATTCTCGTTTAGAATATTTGTATTCGCACTAATGTCTAATCTTTGTAGTTCTTATAAAAACAGAAAATGTTATTTTCTTCTTTTTTCCCGCCATTCCTCTTCATATCCTTCGCCATCTTTTCTTTTCCGACCATTTTCCCGCCTTACCTGGCGTAAATCCTGGAAGATTGTTCAGTTTTGTATTTTAGTAATTAGACAATTACTATATATGTGTATATTTCAGAGAGGTTCTCATCTTTATTGCCTATTGCCATATTCCACATCAAAATCTGTCTCTATTTCTAAGATGTGATATTGTAACTATTTACACCATTTACATTGTTCGGACTGTTGTTCTCATCTTTATTGCCATATTCCCCTTCAACATCTGTCTCTATTTCTCAGATGAGGTATTGTAACTATTTACACTATTTACATTGTTCGGACTGTTGTCCTCATCTTTATTGCCATATTCATTTCTTCAATATCTGTCTATATTTCTGAGATGAGGTATTGTAACTATTTATACTATTTACATCTTTCAGACATTTGTCCTCATCTTTATTGCCATATTCCCCTTCAAGATCTGTCTCTATTTCGGAGATGAGGTATTGTAACTATTTACATCTTTCAGACAGTTGCCCTCATCTTTATTGCCATATTCTCCTTCAAAATCTGTCTTTATTTCTGAGATGAGGTATTGTAACTATTTATATTATTTACATCTTTCAGTCATTTGTCCTCATCTTTATTGTCATATTCCCCTTCAAAATCTGTCTCTATTTCTAAGATGAGGTATTGTAACTATTTATACTATTTACATCTTTCGGGGTGTTGTCCTCATCTTTGTATTCACGACGTTAAGATCTGTAGAAAAAGTAAAAAGGTCTGTAGTCCATATAAAACCGGGATAACCTTCAGGAATGGTTGAGCACTACGATGACTTCTGTTCCGCGTAAGACATCTCTTCCCAGAAAAATGTCCCATAGAGAAGAACATGATTAAAAACTGTGTACACCATCCTATGCAGCTGTGACACGAATTATAAAGGAGAAACACGTCATCAAGAACACGATATAGCCGTAATACGAGGGGAAATAAAAAGTCAGGCATGGCTGACCAAACATGGAGTGGAAAGTGTGATTATCACCCTCTGTGAGATGAAGCTGAAATAATAGACAGAGAAAATTGATGAAAATACGAAAACTTAAGGAATCAGCGCATATGTTAGGCCACAAATATCTCATAAGCCTACCAAGCATAGATACGAATACAATATGGGAACCAGTAATAAAAAGAGCTAGAGAAAAACGATAATAAAAAATTGTAATATAAGTAAAAAATGATAACTGAGACATTAGGTTTATAATTACCAAAAATTCACTTACTAATGTCCCCTCTGACCCATGACCCATGACGCAAAAGTGAGTCGTCCCAAAGAGTTCTGAATTCAATACATGGCCACAGCAGAAGGAAGAAAAACTTGGGGGTTGAGTAACTAAACAGAATTAACTGATACAAAAAAGAAGGCATGGCACGTGGAATTAGAAGAATCTACACCCGTGGACTAAATAAAGGTCTCGGTTCGAAATTCCAACATATATCACCTGAAGAAGGTAGGAGAGTAGAACGGCCGAAACTTCTTGAATATTGCAATAAAGATGAGGACAACAGTCCGCACGTTATAAATAGTGTAAATAGACAAATACTAAAATAGAAATATGAATTACAACTTCCTCGAATGGTTGAGATACATAGATGACCCCTTCATATTCTGACCTCTCCATTGGGTTTGACCATGTGCACTCAGTAAGACCTTTGCTATTGTTCAAAATGGAAGAACAAGAGGCCAACAATAAGTTGTCGTTCGGGGATGTAGTAGTTCGTACATAGAATGATTTAAAAAAAAAACCCGCATATCACATGCTATCATTCACTGAAAAAAACTTTACTTCACTTCAAACCTTCCATAACCGTAAAAAGTCGATCGTCCGATGCCAGTAACACTGTGACGTATAAAAACGTGGCGATCAAGATATAAGCTAACTGGAGATGATCAACATTAATGCATATCCGAAACTGACGCGTCGAGAAAGAGTCCTGGGTATGACGATAAACAACATCCGCGTCCTGGGTAAGACGATAAACTACATCCAGCAGCAAGGTCTCTGATCAGGAGGTTTTGAGGGGCGTGGAACCATCTTTTAATTGCCGGTGTTCCCAGATCCACCCTAACCCGGGGTGGTAGCACCTGTTAAGGGCCCCAACTATGGGTAAATAGTTAACCCCCAAACTGGGTCAAAACACTATGAAAGTGGAAAATTAAGATTTAATATCAGCAATACATTTATTATCAGCAATGGATTTTTGAAGTGTATAATTATTACCAGTAATGCATTTTTGAAGGAAAAAATATTACCAGCAGTATATTTGTGAAGGAAATAATATTACCAGCAGTATATTTGTGAAGGAAATAATATTACCAGCAGTATATTTGTGAAGGAAATAATATTACCAGCAGTATATTTGTGAAGGAAAAAATATTATCATCAATACATTTTTGGAAAAAATATTACCAGCAATAAAAATCTTGTCTGTATTAAATAATCCATTGAGGATGATATGCTGTAAAACTAACCAAACCAAATCAATATATACTGAAATAGATAGATAGATAGATAGATAGATAGATAGATAGATAAAAAATATTACCAACAATAAAAATCTTGTCGGCATTAAGCAACATATTGAGGCTGATTTTTCATAAAACAAACCAAACCAAATCAATATATGCTCAAATAGATAGATAAAAAAATATTACCAGCAATAAAAATCATGTCGGCATTAAATAACCCATTGAGGTTGATATACCGTAAAACAAACCAAATCGGAGAATGTAAATCGAGTGATGGGATTATGAATCTGGGATAAACCCACTGCGTTCAGGATTCCATCGTTGAGCGACAGCACCCGGTAGAAATCCTTTTGACAAAGAGCTTTCTTTTATCCTTAATAACAATCTTAAGGGTCATATAGGGAAACAGATCAGTTCCTTTTGTAGAATAATATATGACGTTTGCTTTGAGTGACTTGAACCAGTAATGGAAAAGAAAGATAAAAAAGAGGAAAAACGACCAAATCGACGACAAATCCAGAAAGGAAAGTTACGATCAGAACAGACATTACTGAAATATTATGCGTGCAACCTCACGACCTAACATGCGCGAGGGAAATATTTGCGTAGTTGTTTATAACGATTTTTACGAGCGCGTCAATAACGGCAAACGAGTTCAGGAACTTTCATTACGGACAGAAGCTGCAAAGAGGAACAATCGTTTTATTTATTTCATTAAGAATTTACAAAGAGGAACGATCAATTAGTTTTTTTTTCATACCCTGCCTGGTGGCAAACGCTGCTGGTGGCGCCAGGGGTGGCGGTCCCGCCATAGCTACCGAAACCGTGATATCACCCCTGGTCGGCGGCTGATGAAGACAGGGTATCGCACGTGCTAACACACGTTGTATGTTTAAAAAAAAAATTGAAAAAAAAATATTACCAACAATAAAAATCATGTCGGCATTAAATCACCCATTGAGGTTGATATACCGTAAAACAAACCAAACCAAACATGTCGAGAACGTGTTTCGGGAAGCTAGCGCCATCGGTCTGTCATACATCAAGGGCCTATCGGGAGGCATTCAAAAGATTAGCGATCCATACTAAATCAGCTCTGTATTGAAAAACATGTCAACTTTTCGGAGTAATTCCTACCAAGTGAAATCTAACATGGAGAACATGACTAAGAACTGCGTATATTTCATCGCTTGTGCCAAAGAATACAAAGATGAAAGCAACCGACCTCTAAAGGTAAGGCTTGAGAAACAATAAATAGCACGTAATTAGAGATGAAACAATGAGATCATGTATGGCTGATCCCGTTTGGAAGGAAAAGCTTGTTCACCAACTTCTGTGGAATGAAGTAAACATACCAGGCGAAGAAAAACTCTGGAGAATCAAACCTCTGAAGAAATCGGCACCTCAGTAGGCCTATAAATACCATATGGGATCCAGAAAGAGAAATGGCGCTGGATTCCGATGCGGTTGTAAGAAAAGAGAAGCAGTGGCGAAAATGATGAATTTTGACAGCTGGAGGAAGGTAATAAGAACATTTATGCTGAGCGGGTAGAATAGACTCAAATTATGGGCGAGCAATTGTTGAGGAAAGACCTTTGGCCTTACTTCCGATGCATTAGCGAGTGAGCGAAACTGGTAATAGCATAAACAGGAAATGCATCCGGTGTCTAAAATAAACAAGGCGCACAATTGTCCTGATCCGAGATTAAACGGCGGAAGGAAATGCGAGGCCACACAAAGTCGTGTATGCGACATACAGGAAGAAGGCGTAGGTGTCCAAATATTATTTAATCGGTCCGACTCCAGCCATCTGAAGAAGGCCGGAGTGTATAACGACCGAAACGTTGTAATAAATATGGCGGCGACAAAGATAGTCCGAATAATGTAAATAATATACATAATACCTCATCTCAGAAATATAGACAGATACTGAATGATATTTATATATTTATATATATAAGTGTTTGTCGCATTATTTGATCCCAACAGCAATATGCAACACAGTGAATGAACATTATCAAAAATGTATCTGAAGAAGGCTTGAGAGCAAATGCCGAAACCTTGTAATAACAACAACAAAGATGAGGACATCTTCGTCCTTGATTTGTACTTGATTCTTCATAAAAAAATCGTCGAGTTTATACGGCGGTCAAAAAGTAAATCTTGACGAGTTTATATTTGAGTCTATTGTTTATACTTGAGGCTATATGCAAACATTAATCGGGTTTAAACACCGACTGATATGCAAATATTCTTGGTGATTATATCTGAGTCTATAAATCTTAGTTAGGTCTAGACTTGCGTCTGTCGGTAAATATTTTCGGTTTATCCTTGAGTCTTCAGGTAAATTCTTCATTGGCGGGGTTTATACATGAGACTGTATGTAAATCTTGGTTAGATGTATACTTGAGTCTATAGGCAAGAATCGAGGAGGCTTAGATTTGCGTCTGAAGGTAAAGATTGATCTGGTTTATTTTAAAGTTTGTAAACGTCTATCTTGAGGGAGCCGCTTTTTTGTGGAGGATCTTATCTTTCTGAAAGAGAAGCAGCTAACATATTGCGGGCCTGCCGGCGATACAGCTATAACTAGGATCAAATTAATCACCAACGTGTACGGTAAATCTACTCTTAGGATTATTCTATTTTCGTTTTCCTCTCTCCGAATTCTTTACTCTTTGAGGTTAATTTCTTGCTTCTTGTTCATGTCTTTTCTTTTCTTCTTCCATTTTTAATGATATTTCGATCAAGGAAACGACCGTATCGGATAGCTAATAACCACTTCCGTCTTCTCTGTTATTCAGCGTTCTTAGCTTTTTTTTTTCTTTTTAAATTAATATCTTCCATCTTTACAATACGTTCTTAGTTCTACTCTTTAGCTGATCCTTCTATTTATCTCTTGTTCTTTCTTCCCTTTCCCGCCATTCCTCATCCAAATCTCCGCCATCTTTTCTCTTTCGATCTTTCCCCACAACTCGCTTTATCCGAAGCAAGCCACCGAACAGATTCGCCAATAATTACTACAGAAAGCCCCACAACTTTATCATTAAATCAGTGTCCTGTGCTGAAAAACTCGTTGACGAAGTACGTCAAAAGAGGACGACGACGAGATTCATGTGAATATGGAAAGAGAAGACAACTAAAGAGACAGGATTAGAGGGAATATAAATTAAATCCCAAAATAGATGCAATGTGCATTATCCTCTTTAATCTTGTGTCGAAGGGACTACAGAGGCTGAATGTTACGACGAAAATTCGACTAAATAAATAAAAAAAGCAAATTTCACAGTCCTGTTATTTTTCGACCTGAGTTCTTGGATTTTGCCAAAATTTTAATTGGAATATATATATATATATATATATATATATATATATATATATATATATATATATATATATATATATATGTGTGTGTGTGTGTGTGTGATAGAAATTATTAGGAGGATTTGATAATAATATTTAAGTAATTCATCGAGTCTGAAACCTCAAAAAAAATCCATAATGCACTGGACGACCGTTTTGTTCTATATCTGTGACTCATCAGCAGTGCGCATCCACTACTGAGAATTGAAACCCTGACAGTTAGGTTGTCAAGCAAACATCTTACCAACTGTTCCACCGGGCCTCGGTGACGCTGCGATTGCAAATCAGACTCAATATAGCGTCGCTCGCTCACATATTTCGTGGTGGAACTCAACTGAGATTCTCTCTAACCATAGGACTGTGCCTCCTGGAGTCACGACTATTATCACCAAGCCGCTCACTCTAGTGCATTAGAAGCCGGTTCAAGCTAATATTTGCTCGACAACCTAACTGTCAGGGTTTCAATTCTCCTGTAGTGGATGCGAACTGCTGATGAGTCCCAAATATAGGACGAAACGGCCATCCAGTGCTTTCTGCATTCTGTTGAGGTTTCAGACTCGATGAATTACATATATATAAATTATAACCTTAAAATCTCTATATATTGTAATCCTAGACTGATCGTTTAGTCGATGGGTTTTTTTCTCGTAGATTAGAATAAGAAGTTGCTTTAATTTTCCAGTTTTTGGAAACTGCTCGTTGAAGCTCATTATCTTGATTGATAAACCAAAGAGCTCACTATTTTATGATTTCTTTTTTACAGATTATCAACCCTTTGCATTTTATTTGAAACCAGAAAATATTTTAGACTGTCAAAATTTTTTTGCGGGTAGATAATAATTAGTTACTGATAAAAATCCTACTAATTAACCAAAGCTGCTGAGGAGGAGAAGAAATGAATTCATACCTTTCCAAAGGTTATTTGCGCCCAGGTGAATATAAAAAAAATAAACACTTGGAATTGGAATTCAGTTTTTCAATTCCGAGCCATTATCAGCTATACCATTACATCACCCGTACATTCAATCTTACAATACCTGGTTTTTCCAAGTGGTCACCCATCTTGATACTGAGCAGGTTCGACGTTGCTTAACTTCAGTGATCGTACGAGAACCGGCATTTTAACATGATGAATTTTCGAATTGCCTTTTTTTTTTGAATTTTAAAGGTTTTACATGATTTTTCCCTTTATTTAAAAGTTTTAAATGTTTATTCCCTTTATTTAAAGGTTTTAAATATTTTCCCCCTTTATTTAAAGCATTTAAATGTTTCCCCCCTTTATTTAAATGTTTTAAATGTTTTTCCCCCTTATTAAAAGGTTTTAAATGTTTTTATCCCTTTATTTTTTTATCAGTTGAAGTGCTATCGATCATTATTAATTTTTGAGTAGTATTTCTTTCATTTTTATTTTTATATGCATAGATTGCGTAGATTGTTCTAGTAATTCCAATTACCTGAAGAAGGCCGGAGCGTACAACGGTCGAAACGTTGTGAATATGGCAGTGAAGATGAGGATAACAGTCCGAATAATGTAAATAATGTAAGTAATCATAATACCTCATCTCAGAGATATAGAGGCCGAAACGTTGTGAATATGGCAATGAAGATGGGGATAACTGTACGAATAATGTAAATAATACAAGTAACCATAATACCTCATCTCAGAGATATAGACAGATAAGCTTGATATATTATAAAGATATATAACTTTGTTATTACCATGGAGAGCATTCAGATGAACGACATTCCTTAGTTTCATCAGTTCTTACCTAGACCTAACTATGCCATGCCCATTGTAGCGAATTACCCTCATTCCTTTCTTATTCCCCTGGTGAGCAGATTCTTCCCACGAACCACTCAGGGGCCTGCTTCCCCGAAAAGGACAATCTTACCCTGTAAAGATTGATCGGGTTTATGTGCTTCTTGATTCTATCTATTGATAGAATACAGCGGCCACTCTTATTATTTTGTGTGGCTTAGATTTTGTTTTATCTTTGGTTGACATTTTTGAGTTTCTTGTCTGGGTTCATCTCCCCTCCCCATCACTTTATTTTTCATGGGATTTTTAATTATATAATAATAATAATAATAATAATCAACTCTCCCGTCGAGATTCGACGTATGAGGGTCAAGCAGATCAGTTTCCAGGAAACCGAGAGCCCGACACCGGCACATGAGATTTGATTATAGTGGTGAAGGTTTCGTGCAGGACCATCCACACTTTTTGAAGGGACGAATACAGAGACCTGGTGCACCGAGTGCCACAAGGTCTCCAAACGACCCTCCGCAGATTTTGAATTCAGAGTTGTCCTTCTCCTAGACCAGTTGCCATCCAAGGCTATAGAACCTAGTCTGTCCTGCTATTTTATCCATAGCTGGAGGAAGAGGATTCATACATTTCCCAATATTTTGCTAATATATATATATATATATATATATTACGAATTTTTACACCATCGGGTGTTTTTGTAGGACCCTTGTGAATATGTGGTATTGTGGTATGTGCAGGATTGTGAGGTGATGGATGAGTTCTTGTGGTGAATGTGTAATTGTAATGAATGAATGGGCCATGAATGTGGTTAACTAGAAATAGGAAAGCTAGTGAATGACCAGCCTCTCCCATTTCCCCTTCGGCCTTGTGCCACAATTTTGTAATTTTTACAAAATAAATATAAAGATTGATCAGGTTTGTTTAAAAGTTTGTAAGCGTCTATCTTGAGGGTGTCGCTTTTTTGTGGGGTATCATCCTTCTGAGAAAGAAACAGCTGACGTATTCAAGTCCTGCCAGCGATGTAACTATTCGTATTTGAGTCTATATAAAAAAATGGTCGAGATTATTCTTCGGTCAAAAAGTAAATATTGGTCGTGTTTATATTCGAGTCTATTGCTAAACAATACTTTAATACTTGAGTCTATATGCAAACATTGATCAGGTTTGAACATGAATTGATAGGCAAATATTGTTCGGGATTATATTTGAGTCTGTAAACTTTCGTCAGCTCTATACTTGAGTCTATCGATAAACCTTTGGCAGGTTTATATCATAAGACTTAAGTTAAGAAATTGGTCGAATTTATACATGAATTTTTGCATTAGGCCTAGTTTGTTTCAAGCTAATCAACCTGTTTATTGGAGGCTTGTTTTCTTTTTTTTTAATGGAAGTTTCTTTGAAATATGTTATATATGCCTAAAATATGGCGAATTGTAAAAGTAAAAGTAAAGTAAAATTTAGATAACGTTAAATTAGACAAGATATCGATTTATAACCTGAATCCGTATGTTGATGGTATTGGCGAGTGTTCTACTTTCAGCGGAGAGATGCGAACACAAGTTCTAGTAAGCACATAATTCCTCACCATTTTTCTTTTGATTTCTATAAAAGAATACGTTTGTTCCTCAGGAACAAACACATGAATCCTGATAATTTCCTAAGATGTCTTATAAGTTTCGAGAGCGCCATAATGCAGAAACGGAACTTGGATTTAAAAAGCTTACCATAAATAATCTTTTTATATTCACGGCTAGTTTATACGAGACTTGCATCGAAAGTTCCCCAACTTGGCCCAGAAAAATACACACTATTCTTCCAGTGTGCATACTTAATATTTTAATAAATAAATAATAAAACTTCGCTGGCGACGTAATGGAGAGCTGAGTTCGAATTCCAGCCGAGTTCATTTCATTCACTTACGTGCAAATACCCCTTGGGAAAGGATGAATCTATCTTTTCTCCTCCAGCTATGGGTTAATTAATAATACTTGTATATTTAAACAATTATTATGTAAAAAATATTTAAATCTAAAAAGTATTATTTAAGGCCAGAAAATGTTTTTATATTCTAAGAATTCTTTTTGGAGACAATAATGGTTTAGTGATACAAGTCTTACTAATTAACACATAGATGGTGTTGAAACTTGAATAAAGCATGGAATAATAATAATACAACACAAAATGTACTTAAACAAAATGTATTGACACAAGAACGTGTACACAATATTTACAGAGAGTTTTGGTATATTCTTGGGAAGACCGTTCCTGTAGAATGGGTTGACTTAGAGTCTCTGGATTGGATCTCTTCTTCCTCCCCCGTCTTCCCGGTACCAACCATATTTATATGGTCGGTACTCCACTATGTAAATTAGGTGGATCGTACCACAACAGATGGGGAAGAAAAGGTGAATTTATACCTTTCCCAAGTGTATTCACGAGAAAGTTAATATAACGAACACAACAGGTATTGGAACTTGGTTCTCTGATTAACAATTTCCATTATCCATTACACCACCCGCGCATCCAAGATTACAGCACCTCGTATTCCCAAGCGGACACCCATCTAGGTACTGACCAGGCTCGACGTTGCTTAACTTTGGTTATCCAACGGGAACTCATGTTTCAATGTGATGTGGCTGTAAGAAGCTCTGAGTTGAGCAGAGGCAAAATTTTTACCAGAGTTTTGTTTGTGTATCGCGTTAATGCCGTGTAGATTCGACTTACAACGAGGGATTTGTCTCGGTAAAGCTTTACGAGCGTCCTGGGTAAGACGATAAACTACGTCCAGTAGCAAGGCCTCTGATCAGGAGGTTTTGAGGAGCGTGGAATCACCTCTTAATTGCTGGTGTTCCAAGGTCCGCCCTGACTCGGGGTGGTAGCACCTGTTAGGGTCCCAGCTATGGGCAAATAGTAAACTATTACCAGCAATACTTTTTTGGAAAAAAAATTATTACCAGCAATACAATTTTGAAGGAAATATATTAACAGAAACAATTTTTTGACAAAACAAAATATTACCAGCAATAAAGAATTTTGTCAGCATTTAGTCCATTGGGATTGGTGTGCCGTAGGACAAAATAAACAAAACCAATGTAAACCAAAGAATACATATTCTGTTCATACGAATCTATCCTAAAAATTTTGTCGGTATTAAATGACCCATTGAGGTGGATGTGCCGTCAAATAAAATAAACCAAACTAAACCAAAGCTTTACGACTCTCTACAATAGGGTTTTCTTTATGCTTCTCTTCGATGTTTTTAACTGAGAAATAGACACACGGGTTGAGTTGCTTAAATCAAACGGCTTGAATCAAACGTGTAGACTCCTCTCAACCTTTGTACCTTCATGGAGCCCTTCAAATAGGCTTCATGTCCCTGGGAACCCCTTCATAAAAATTACTACACCCTTGTAAAATTAATTGAAAGTAAACAAATAATTCCGTTATTATTTAATTTTTTCGTGTTCTTCCAATGAAACATGACCCAGTGCACATGTTAGTACTTCGTATGTCGATTCCACGGAGTTGTTCCTTGCAGATTGACCACAGATTTTCGATTCGATTTAAATCAGGAGAGTTTTCCAGCCAAACTTTGATTTGCTCACTGGTAAGGTTTGTCAGCGTGTTCGCGCAGCGTTACAATTTTTGTACGCCTCCTTGGAGTAACTTCCATCGCAGACAATGGTCTTAGGACAACTAATCGACAGTCAAGACAATAGTGTCTGGATGTGATGAAAATCTGATGCAATCACGGATGACGCAATATTTTTCAAGGCGAAATAAATTTTATCATACATTAATATTACAGCAAACCACTGTAAATGACCTCATCTGATGAAAAATAGAAATCGATTACACTGCAGTGTGTCTAAAAATGACCGTATGATGAAAGAAAGGAAACTAAAACGTTTTTTTCAGTTAATTTGCACAATGGTGTATATAATAATATTGATATCTCTCTTTTTATATTTTTGTCGTAGTTCACGTGGTAAGTATAATATATAGGCGCTTGTCTTGTACTCGAGGGAGTACCTCAATTATGCACAAATACAAGTACTGTCCAATCACGTGTGAAGGTTTCAAATTGACGCCATATTCTTTCAAACGCTTACCCCGCTTGTTGCCGACTGATATAATATTATTTTGATGGTTATTTTATGAGCCTTCTCTTCCAAGAGGTCTCAAGGCAAGTCTGGAAGAGGTATTTGAAGATTTTTCCTCAGTAGGTTGTTTTTCTGCGGTAGACTGGTTGCCAACCAAGTCTATCGGACTCAGTCTGTCCTGATATTTAACCCATAGCTGGAGGGAAAAGAGATGGATTCATGCTATTCCCAACGCAATTTCTCATTCCGAGTCGATATTTACTACCCCATCCTATATACCCCATGTAGGCATCACTAAAACATCCCCTATGATTATTATAATTGTAAATAATAATTGAGTTTGAAACCTTTATTATAGTAACCAAGGAATTTTCTATAATATGCCGTAAGTGTATAGTAAAATTAAGAATATAAAATTAAACAAAAATTACTCAAAAATGAATTAACCGATTTATCACTGTTTCTGGCGGAACCCCTAGCAACCTCTTGAGGAATCCCGGCTTTCTGGAGTGCGAAGTTCTCGAGAAAATCCAGAGACAGATATACAATGTGATAGGTCTTGATCTGGCATCTCGTCTACAGTCACATTCTCACAGACGTGCTGTTGCGTTCCTCTGTCTTTTCTACAAGTATTTTCACGGCAACTGCTCTGAAGAGCTACTTTCACTGGTACCCCAACTGCATGTATTCAAGCGTCCTACTAGGTTGGCATCTCGGTCCTACCCTTTCACTGTCGAAACGGTTAAATGCAACCGCCTCCTCTACTCCGAAAGCTTCTTCTTTCGCACTTCCCAAAAGTGGAACTCCCTTCCTCTTACTTGCTTCCCTGATAGCTATAATCTTCAAATATTCAAATGTAATGTCAATCGACATCTTCTGATGACTTGTCCTGATCCCCGTCCTTCTCTTTATCCTTTCCTCAAACACCCCCCTCTTTACTCTTGCTCTCAATCTCTGTAACCCCTTGCGTGCTAGAAAACCTTGTTCAGAAACACTTGTTCAGAAACACTTGTCTAGACTGCGGATTGAACGTAAGACTCAAACAAAATACAATGATTTTATATCGCAAGATCTACTGCGCATTTTCTCGATACAATGTCCCGTAATTAAGGCGTAATTTACAGTAATTATATCTTGAAGATATAATCTAATGGTGACCAAAATTGTTTGCAAGTTATTTTGATGTCAATTAAAATGCGACATAAACATTATTTGAGCAATTGGGAGAGTAACATAATCAGCAACTTGTTAGCTAATTCCTGTGTTTATAATACGGGGTAATAATGAACTATCATTAATTAATTATTAAGTAATTATTAATAGAGTGTCAGTTAGTGATTACTTCTCTATTGAGATTGACTTCTCTCTTATTTCAAGTTAGATTTGAGCTGTTCGATAATATACACCTATTAAAGAGCCAACTGATAGCGTTTGAACTGGATTTTTTTTTATTTAAAACTTAATTAGTAAATTCTACAAAAAAAAAAGAAATAATAATCAACTTGGATTGAAGCCACGTCGGTGGTTACTCTACGAATGTGTTCGGGGTTTCCAGCAGTTTTGTATAATTTGTAGTTATCGAGACAGCAAATAATCAGACCCGCCAAAATGTTCGATTTAATGAGGAGATTTAGATGAAGTTAGATTAGTTCTTAAGACTGGCTTTGAGTGTATATTAATCTCAGACACAATTAATTGTTCTGGAGTGGTAATTGCTAAGTCTGTGTGGCAATAATTTTCGAATTAAAGCTATTCGTAGCCCCTTGTTTGTATATCTCGAATTGTAGTCTTGTTTGTGCATCTCAAATAGTAGCCTCATGCGTGTGTGCATCTCAAATTGTAGTCTGGTTTGTTCATCTCAAATAGTAGCCTCGTGTATGCATCTCAAATTGTAGACAGTTGTGTGTGCATCTCGAATTGTAGACACTTGTGTGTACATCTAGACTTGTAGACAGTTGTGTCTGCATCTTGAATTGACGCCTCTTGTGTGTGCATCTAGAATTGTAGAGGCTTGTGTGCGCATCTCGAATTGTAGTCTTGTTTGTTCATCTCAAATAGTATCCTCGTGTGTGCATCTCGAATTGTAGACACATGTGTGTGCATCTCGAAGTGTAGTCTTGTTTATTTATCTCAAATAGTAACCTCGTATGTGCATCTCGAATTGTAGACAGTTGTGTGTGCATCTAGAATTGACGCCTCTTGTGTGTGCATCTCGAATTGTAGACTCTTGGTAGTGAATCTCGAATTTTAGTCTTGTTTTTTCATCTCAAATTGTAGCCTCGTGTGTGCATCTCGAATTATAGACTCTTGTGTGTGCATCTCGAATTGTAGACACTTTTGTGTGCATCTCGAATTGTAGTCTTGTTTGTTCATCTCAAATAGTAGCCACTGTGTGCATCTCGAATTGTAGACAATTGTGTGTGCATCTTGAATTGTCGCCTCTTGTTTGTTGCTCTAGAATTGTAGACACTTCTGTGTGCATCTCAAATTGTAGAGGCTTGTGTGTGCATCTCGAATTGTAGTGTTGTTTGTTCATTTCAAATGGTAGCCACATGTGTGTGCATCTTGAAAAGAAGACACTTGTGTGTGTATATCGAATTGTAGACAGTTGTGTGTGCATCTAGAATTGTAGTCTTGTTTGTTCATCTCAAATAGTAGCCTCGTGTGTGCGTCTCGAATAGTAGACACTTGTGTGTGCATCTAAAATTGTAGACAGTTGTGTGTGCATCTCGAATTGTAATCTGGTTTGTCCATCTCAAATTGTAGCCTCGTGTGTGCATCTCGAATTGTAGACAGTTGTGTGTACATCTTGAATTTTAACCTCTTGCGTGTGCATCTAGAATTGTAGTCTTGTTTCTTCATCTCAAATAGTAGCCTCGTGTGTGCATCTCGAATTGTAGGCAGTTGTGTGTTCATCTCGAATTGTAGCCTCTTTTGTTAGCTTCTCAAATTCTGGCCTCTTGTGTCTTCATATATACACACCATCTCGACTTTCTCTCTGTGTTAGGATTTTACTTTGGAATAAACGTATACCGGGATGTGTAAGCAATAGCGGGTTGCTTTCGTATTAAATGAAAAGAAGCAAGATAATTGCGATGGAAAAAGTAAGAAGAAGATGAAGATGAAGAGGAAAGAAAAAAGATGAAATTCAAAATCTAGGAATCATATCCAAAATATACAATAGCGTAGAAGACTATGAAAAAAGAATATTTAAGAAACAAATAACAAACAAAACGAAAGTAAGAAACTATATTAAAAGAGAGAGAGAGGGGAAGAAAGAGATAGTGAGAGGGGGAGGGTAGAGAGTGGAGAGAAGAAGAGCAAGAGAGGGGAGATAGAGAGAACGAGAGAGAGATGGAGAGAGAGGGAGACAGAGACAGATAATGAGAGAGGGAGAGAAAAAGGGAGAGAGAGAGAGAGAGAGAGAGAGAGAGAGAGAAAGAAACGAATCATCGGCGTAGATATTCATGAATGATTTTTTTCGGCAGATTTATATAAAGTAAAAAGAGTGTTGGTCCGAGGAGTGGCACCTTGGGAACACCTGCAGAGGACTGTGTTTTAAAAATTACCTTCGGGGACTTACCCGTTAAGAAGGACTTTTTAATTGAGAAGTCCCTTTCAGTGATCCCATAGCTGGAGAGCATGTGAAGGAGACCTTTGTGTTACACCTAGTCAAAGGACTTCGAGTATCTAATGAGGGAAATCTGTAGTCAATAGCCTATCTATCTATCTATCTATCTATCTATCTATCTCAGTCTGTTTATATCTATCTATCTATCTATCTATCTATCTATCTATCTATCTATCTATCTATCTATCATTCTCAGTCTGTTCATATCTATCTACCTATCTATCTATCATTCTCAATCTGTTTATATTTATCTATCTCTGTCTAATCATATCTATTTGTCTGTTGATATCTATCTATCTATCTATCATTCTCAGACTGTTCATATCTATCTATCTCAGTCTGTTCATATCTATCTATCTATCTATCTATCTATCTATCTCAGTCTGTTCATATCTATCTATCTATCTATCTATCTCAGTCTGTTAATATCTATCTATCTATCTATCTATCTATCTATCTATCTATCTATCTATCTCAGTCTGTTCATATCTATCTATCTATCTATCTTATTTCCATGTAATAATAAAAACAATAATGATAAAATTTACCATTACGATTTAATCTGAGACACTGGTTCTTTACGAAACCACCACACACACAATTAGAAATTTGATACACATACATAGACACATATTTTCCCGTTCCTTCTCACTGCAGTCTTCAGGAATTAGACACACATACACTACAAAACAGACACATCCGTTCGCACGAAAAACGCCTCCTAGATTTCTGACACGGAAACTCAATAACGCTGAACATAAATAGCCGAGATCTATGCAACCAATGAAAACAAATATCACAGAATTTGAAATCTAGAATCATGCTCCAATGCTTTCCCTCATTCCTGCAAATATCTGACAAAGCTTCAAGTAAAGCAAAATATGTTAAATTTAAAAACATTTTGTTGCAAATAAGGTACAAATTGGTAAACTTTTATGAATCATTTAGCCAGTTAGATTCATGTTTTTAAAATTTTTATTCTTCCTTATTTACATTATTCGGACTATTAGCTTCATCTTTGTCGCCATATTTATTACAATGTTTTGGTAGTTTTACGCTCCGACCTTCTTCAGGAGGTTGGAATGTCGAACTAAACCCTTTATTTGGCTCACTGGGGTAGACTATTCTAGTTCTACGTGTTATGTCTAATGGATGCTAGTTGTCTCCTGTTAATTCCCCTCTAAAAGTTCTCCACTGCCTTAACCAGGTATTGAACTCACACTCTTTGGCTCCTGTCGCTGGATCTAAACAACGCTTTTATCCAGTGACAGGACTTAAAAAGTGTGAGTTCAATACCTGGTTAAGGCAATGGAAGACTTTCAGAGGGGAATTAACAGGAGATAACTGATAACTATGATAATTGATTTATGCATTTCAATGTTTCAATCAGACAAGTACCTTTTTTGCTTTGTGCCTTTCGTTTGGTTGAAAAATGAAATGAATAAATTCTCTCTTAGTTTTTCGACAGGTTAGTTTTTTTTTTTTAGTTTTCACAGTTAAATTCTATTTTTTATCCATTCTAATTGTGTAGATACAAACTCAATCGACACCGGGGTTGATAAGGGAGACAACCGATATCATTGTCTATAGGCTATTCCCCATATGAGGTAATTTTGGATTTTATTGTTCATTAATTATATTGGTCTGTAATAAATACACTGAGTCCATTTTGTGGATCAATTTTAATATTTTATATTACTAGTATCTAACTGGATTATATAACAACGATTTTGTTACCTTTACTATATATATACATATTTGGTTACCCTGATGTGAGTTTGTGACCCTGGGTTTCACTCTTTTGTCTGACGATCGCAAAAGAGTGAAACCCAGGGTCACACACTCACATCAAGCCAACCAAATATGTTAGCTCTATCTCTGATATTTAGCGCTTTCTAATAAGTATCGCGCATTTAATATATAAATAATTATATATATATATTTATTTATTTATATTTATATACACACATTTTTGCAGTTCTCAGAAAACATTTGCCAACTGATTTACAGTAATGCCTGAAATCACATTAGTTATTTTAGCTATACTTAAAACTAGGTACATTAAACTTTATAACATTTTTTACAGATTATTTCTATCGCAAATACAAATAAAGTTATAAATATTTTAAAGTGCACACGAACTTTATGGACACCCTGCATATATATATAAGTTTTTCACTTAGCTGATTGATGTTACCTTCCACATTTCGACTCCAGAGTTTCAAAGACAAAGCCGTCCATCCAATCTTCAGGGGATATCTGCAATTAACTGCTTATATTTATCAATTTTTCTGTTATCATTGGTGTGAATAATATATATTTAGGCGGCAAGTATTTATCCAAACAAGTTTGATTAAAAAAGAACCGACACTGTCTGCATGTTTATTTTTTTTTTATTGATTTTTCCATTTTTCCAGATAAGGTGCTAAGTATTTTGGTCGAAGATGTGAATAAACTGTACGAGGTTCATATTCGTTTAAGTACTTTCGATTTCCGCAGTCATTATCAAGAATCAATGTGGTGTCTGTGTGATAGAATTCGTTTGTCTGCATCTTGGTGTTCTTTGGAAAGCTGGATGTTTGAAATGGTCTAGCGTTTCGTCATAGCTATTGGAAACTAGTCAACACAAAAAGAATACAATTAATTTATTAATTTAATTTTAATTTTATTTTTATTTTTTAATAAATTATGTGCGCATATTGACCTGTCACCTGTCAAAACACAGCGCAATCCGTGCACACACTAGTAGGTAACACTAAAATGCTCTACAGCTTCCCAATGCAAGGGAAGACTCATAAATTTTAGAAGCTATTATTATCACAAAAGAAACAGCTCACATGAAAATATCATTCACGACAGGAGAAGGTATTAATGTGCGCACATATTTTACAAAAAGAATCAAGGAAAAGAAGAAAAATTAAGCGTTTAATCCGAGTCAAAATCTGCTAAATAGAAGTGGTCATATTAATAACGTTCTCAGCTCTCACGGTATTACAGTGTGCTCACGATTGTTAAGCCTTAAACGCGACTTCAGATTCATTGCATAACTTCTGACATTTCTCCCGCTTAAAATCAATGGCATAAAACGAAGAAGGAATCCCTATGGTTCGTCTCGCTATCGCACTGCCCCTCAAGCTTGTTGAACTCGACCTCTAAGGATCGACGAGAAACACAATGATTATCCCGTGTGGTCGATTAAAAACAGCACAGCAACAAAAACCAAACACTGTCAGAAGACCACATAATTCAATTCAATTGCACATAAGAATGTGTTAAAAGGTCAGAACTAAGATCTTTATCAACACTTGCTTAGATTTATATCTTCTTCGTGTTCCATCTCTCTTCAGAGCGTGGGGATCATGGCTCTCCACAATTTCCTATCTTTTGTAACTCTTAATAAATTTTGTCTTTTTATTTCTCCGAAACCATTTCCCGCTATAAATTTACTCATTTTTTTCTCTATCTCTTTTGCCTTTAAACTGTCTTGTGAGTATCCAATTTTCCAAACCCTCTTTCCTCTTTATGTGCGCTAGAAACTTCAACTGTCTTTTACTGAAGCTATGTATAAGTTTCGCTTTTGTTTCCATTTTACTGGATGTAAAAAGAGTATTTTCAGTAATTACATTTCAGAATTTGACAGAAAAAAATTGCAGCAGTTAAATTATTTTTATTGAAATGTTTTTTTTTTAATCAATTCACCCCAAGCAAGGCGATAATGCCACTAAGAAGCAAGATGCCACTAGAAGAGAAAATGAAGGAAAAGTCTTTAGAAGTAACCGAAAAGCCAACGATAGTATAAATTTCAGAGTTCAGGTGGAAAGGTTAGAAGTATATCAATTTACTAAACGTAGGTTTGATGTGGCCGAAATATGGAGCACCCAGTGAGGATCGAACTCAGTACTCAGTCGTAATTGATCTATTGAGGCAGGCTTTCTAACCATTAAACTCGAATGTCCGAAACGTTAGAAGTATAGCGTAGAATTAGTAGAATTTAAAAGGAACCAGAAATACCATCCTAAACAGGAAATAAGGGATAAACCTCTACTCCTGTTCAGACGACCTGGAAGAAGTGCGAACCGGGCGATAGCTGAACCTATCTACTCCTGTTAAATTATGGCTTTCTACAGATTCTTTATCTCTTTTAAAATCTGTGGATTTTTTTTTATATTTTCGGAAAGATAATGGAGTCATTTCCTGTACCTTTTCAATAATTTTGAATTCAGAATAAGGCTCTTCAATTGGCTGCCACTCCGAAGAGCTCAGTCTGTCGCCTTGTTTTACGATGACGGTAGAAAGAATCGATTCATGCCTTTCCCAATAAGATTTAATTGGAAATGGACTCAACCGACAAGGACGGAAATTGAAACTGGTTCGCTGATTCCATTTTTTGTATCAATGACCATACATCAGCGAATGCTTAACAATCTCCAAAAAGATGAAGAAAAGATTCGAAACGACAGAAATCTGATTTTACAGAAGGACGCTAAGGACACCATAGACCAAATATGTGAGCAACAACTAGGTTTGGGGGAGAATGGAAACAAAGAGATAACTTAAACTTAACATCAGGAAGAGTCAGCTAAAATTTCTAGGAGTCGTAATGAGGAGGTGGGTTTGGAAAATCTGATACTCACAGAACGGATAGTGGGGGAGAGGAACAGAGGAAAGCAAAGTGTTGCATACTTGATGGGCTTGAGTAAGTGGACGGCAGAACAGGTTTGGGTGAAATAACAAAAATGGACAGGAGGAGGTGGAGGACCATGATCGGCTACGTCCCAAAGGTCCTCGGCACATAAAAGAAAGAAAAGACTATAACGTTCCAAGCAAATTTTACTTGCATTATTAAATTCCTTCATCTCTGATATTAATTTTAGCAAGACATAAAATATAACGAATAAACAAAATTGCTTCTCGAGAAGTTACAGCTAAAATCACTATCTATAAAAGGCAGGATGTGTGTGTGTGTGTGTGTGTGTGTGTGTGTGTGTGTGTGTGTGTGTGTGCGTGCGTGTGTGTGTGTAACGAATGCACGGCCGCAATTTTCCACGGATTTGCACCAAAATTTACATGCGCATGCTCCAAGTTAGCGAGAAGGCCAAGACCGACTTTGCATTTTTCAACTCCCATCGATAGTGGAAATAATCGTTTTTTTCATGCTTCTACAGCAGTTTTCATGTAGTGTGCGGCCATTTTCTACTGGTGAGAAAGAGAGCTTATAGCTGGCTGCCACGGATAGGCATGAAGATTCTATTGGCCAGCGTGAGAGCCAACAGCTGACTGACACGAATGTTAACTAGCATGCTAGGAAGCAAAAAAAAAATCGATAGATGCATTCGTCACAAGTGGGAAAAATTTAAATCTGCATGGCACTTTACTCCAATTGGCTCATTCGCTTTCTTAAACTCAACGTTGATTCTGATTCTGCAGAACAGGGTTGGGTGTGAAAAAGTATTTATTGTTAACATTCTTTTTTCATTCGGTTTTTCCAATTACGAACCCCTTTTTTTTTTAAAGCT